TGTGTGCAGGGCATGAGGGGCAGTGGGTTTGAGATATGAGCAACTTGCTTGAACTTTGAGCAGAGGCTGGAGCAGATGACCTCCAGAGGTCCCTTCCAGCCTAAATTATTCTGTGACTATCCAGAGACTGAAGTAAAAATATGCCTCCTTATCTGTGTCAGACAGTCTTTTAGTGTCCGCTGCTACCTGGAGTATAAAAGCAAAGACAGTGCAACTCTACTAGGTTAGTCCAAGGTGTCCAATGGCGGATGCTTAAGGATATGTAAAGCACAGTATTCCAGGGAGTTGAAGGCATAAAGATAAGAGCTGATCCTCAGTAACTTGAGGACAAGATCTTGAGACTCATTTCCAGCAACATATATACGTACTGTGAGAAGTTACATGAACTGTAATGCCCCTCATTTTTTTTCTCATGTAACATAGTTGTCTTTGAAATTCTCCGGACCAGTATGTATATTCCTAGGGGCAGTAAACTACTTTCAAACATTTCAAACATTTATTTGAGCCAGGATGATTGAAGAGATTGCAGCTTCTTGTTAGGAGTCTTGCTCTCCAGTTTGTCATGTTAACTTGGTTTGTGCAAGATGAATTCCATGACTGGTTTTGATTTGCTGCTTTCCTCTTTTACTCTATGGTTAATCAGAAAGTAGGACTAGCCTGCTTTAACATCTTTATTTTTTGTTTTGATTATACATATAATATATAATTGTACAAGTCTTCTGGGGTAGAACCAGGCTTTTTTTTCTTCCTCATCAACAAACTGATAAACATTAAGGGTCAGTTAATCAACTGTGCTCGACTCTCCTTGGTTAGTGGTAGTTAAAATGTAGATGAATGAAAAATCTGGCCTTGGGCAAATTATTTTTAAGCATAATTGTGAACTATCTTTTCAGGGTGTTAAAGGATTGTTATTATTATTTGGTTACAAGTTATGCTATGAATGTTTTCAGCTCATGGGAGAAGAAAGGATGTTGTAATATGTCTAGTACATGAAATGAAAATATTGAGTTCCATCCTATTTTTTCCTTTGCTTTGTAGAAGAAGAAGATGGTGTTTGGGAGAATGGACTTTCTTATGAATGTCGCACTCTACTTTTCAAAGCCGTTCATAACCTTTTGGAGAGGTGCTTAATGAATCGGAATTTTGTACGCATCGGAAAATGGTTTGTGAAGCCTTATGAGAAAGATGAAAAACCTATAAACAAAAGGTAGGTATTTTGTCTTTTTAAATAAGCTGTAGAGTTTACTGAAGCCTTATGCTAGAAGAAGCATCTAATTAAGTTTATGGTGCTTATGGTTTGTTTGGGATCCTCAATCTTTGATCTTCCTTGTTTTTCTGCCTTTCTGGAGTTGTTCAAAACTTCCTCGTGGAGAGAGGAAGTGATATTGAAAGCAATAGGAGGTGTCTTCTGTAGTAGTGCTCCCTCGTATGTAGGCTGAGAGATGCTGAGAAGAATCTAGGTCTTCAAGAAAGACAAGGGTAACTGTCCACAATACCTGATACAGACCTAGCCATATAATGGCTGAGACTAATTCTGGTTTGGCAGCACTACTAAAAAACTCATGCTTTGAGCAAGCAGGATTGAGGGAGCACTTTACAGGGAGCAGGTGTGGTCTGGGCAAATTGCATCTTACGGGAGACTTTGGGAAGATGGTTTGTAATGCCAGCTGCTGGTCAGGAGGAAGGCTGTGCGTATGGCCCCCATATTGAGAAGGAGGAGAGATTTTTTTGGTCTGGAGTAGAAGGACTTCTCATGGTTCTAACGTGTTTGACATGGTCTATGTTGCCTAGTGATAATTAACAAAATGAGTAAAAACTGGGTTAGCTGGAACAAGTTTAATCGCTGTTCCCAAATCAGCTTTTAAAATCTGAAGTAATTTAAAGCTTAGAGGGTGGATTTTTTTCCCCTCTATTTTTTTACTTCTCCCCCTCCCTCCTGTGTGTGGGTGTTTTGCTGTGTGTGTTAAAATCTTGCATGCAGGAAATTTTGAGATCGGTGGCTTTGCTGTTTGGGTGTGGAGTTGGCCTTTGTTGGCATCTTCTGCAATAAATTTAGACTTGAAAGAGAATTAGAGCTGTTTTGGAGTAAAAAGGAGCAGAAGCAAATGTTTGTATGTGTTTGTATTAGTAGCTGTGAACTGCTGCTTTTAATTTATGTATAAACTTATCCTTTATTTCTGGGCATCTCTTTTTCCACCCTAGTCAGGGCAAATGTCTCCTCTCTGGGGTGCTCTTGTCCATCTATTTCTTCTGTCTATTGGCAATCAGTGCTATAAATCAATACTAAGGAGTTTACTTTTAACTGATTCAGCCAATATTTTCTTGGCACAATTGGGCTCATCTCATTTGGGAAACTGGTTTTCCAAATAGCTGTTTGAAGCTGGCATTAGTTATGGCATCTCTCGCAGTAATTTTGCAAACCTCCTTTGCAGCAGCTGGAAAAGCTGCTGCAAGCTTTTTAAAATATAATAGCAGTATTTGTTTAATTTAGAGACTCTGTAATTTTTTAAGAAGGCCAGAAGGTCAGCCTGCTTGATGAAAATAAGATCTGAAGGAAGCACACAGCCTAAGTAGACTTCATTTAGTGGGAAATCTGTAGAATGATGAGACAGATCTGTGTAAAAATACAATTGTGCACGTTTTACAGAAATTGGATCGTAACAATCAAAAGGTTTTGAAGTTGTGTGTTTGTCTTTGGAGTTTTCTCCATCTTTCAAGTGGGAGTTGTAATATTCATGATGCTAATCTTAAACATGCCATGTAGTTTTTGGTGTAGGAAGAATAGTCTTCAGAAGAAGTGTTCTGTTTGCCCCCTCTGTTAGAGAGGGGGGTGTGTGTGTGTGTGTGTGTCCCTTTTTTTCTTTGTTTTTGGGAAAAGTGGTGCTTCTCCTGTGCAGAAGGGGCCTCTGATGAATGTGACGGGTGTCGCATCTGATGCAGAGAATACTACTTCTGCTGAGGAAGGGGTGTGTGTGTGTGTATATACATATATATATACGTATATGTATGTATGTATTTGTCTATAGTGCATTGTGTTGGTTAAATGTATGCCTCATCCTTGGGGAAGGAAAAGTTACCTTATGATAGTTTTGGGGTATGCTGGTATGTTTTTGTTCCTTTGCTTCTTGTAAAATTTATTGGGTGGTGGGAAAGTACAGGAGAAGAGTGCACGTTCTCGGGAAAGGAAGCCACGCTTGCTCATGCCCCTGCGTGAATGTGACCTTGCTACAAGTTACACCTGGTCATTGATGTCTTTGGTACCAACTTCCATGCCCGTCACTGCTTACATTTTGTTCTTTTGGGACTACTTTTTGCACTAGCATTCAGAAACTCTTAATATAAAATTCACAAGCCTATATAATTTATTATTATTATTTTTTACTGTTTTTTTTTTGTTTTGTTTTGTTTTTTGTTTTTTTTTACTGGGTAAGATGTACATCTACTGTTGTCCTGTACTTTGGGCCTTGGCTAGTGACTATGTAGATTTATTTTCTGGTATTAGGACAGCAGCTTTAGATAAGGCTGGTTGGGTTTGCTGTCATAATTCATTGTAAAGCTTTTAGATGCCGAGTGGAAAATACTGTTGATCCTGGAAGTAGTTTCTTCCATGCACATCCTGGGGTTATAGTTGATCAATGTACAGGGTCTTAGTCCCACTCTCTCACCTCCTTTCCCTTTGACCAGCACACAGGTAGAGTTAGTCCTTTTGCTCGGAGCTGATCCCAGCTTATTTTTCTGTGTTTTATTTGAAAATATATTTCCATGGTATGTGAGCCTTTCTGTTATCTGGCATCCCGACCATAGGCATGGGTCGTGTAGTGCTTTTCTGCTCCAGGAGCTGAGTCTCTTCCTGCCAATCCGTGCCCTGCTGTAATCGCTCCCTCCGCATGGGATGCGGCAGGCGGGAGATCCGTGACATAAGGGTGTGATTTCTGGTAGGTGGTTGGCTGAGATGACACATCCGCAGGCAACTGTGCCTTCCTTTCTGTTGCTATGTCTCTCTTTTGCCTGTAGAAGGATCTATTTTAAAAATCCTTTTTCATCATTGTGTAGCATGTTCTATTTTTAAGAATAAAGTCCTTAATGTTTGTAAATTGGTGCTGCTGTGGCACGTGAATAAATGATCAAGGAGGTAGGAATTATGTGGTTTTAGGTGTTCATTATTTAGTAATATTTATGTGACCTTTACGGCAATCTATGAAATTATTATTGTTTAATCTGGTTTAAAATTAGGAGCGTGTCTCAGCCACACACGCGGCACGGTGACAAAGCGGCCCGGTACCCGGGCTGCTCCTTTCCTCTCCGCAGGCTGAAACCCGCTCCGAGGAAAGCGAGGCCGCCGAATTTGGCAAAATCGGATCTGTTAGAACAAGTCACGATTGCCAGGCCCGAGGAAACGCCTGACGCGCCAGTCCCACTTCCCTGTGCGGATAGGAAGGAGGGATTGGAGTAGCAAAGAGCCCCGAGTTTCTTTCGTTAAAACCTACGTGGGTGATTTCCAGAGCCTGGGAATGGCTGAGGGGGTCAGCAGGGAGATGAGGAATAAAAGACTAAATAGGATGTTTTCCTAATGGCCTTAGTTGTAACAGAGCTTGGAGCTCCGGAGCTTTGTGACTCTCTTCAATCACTTAAATAAAGCAAGGTGGATTACCGAATCTCAGCAGTGTGGTTTAAATGACTGCATATTGAATTACAAGATTTGACAAACAGGAATGCTTTTTTTTTTCTTTCTTTCTTTCTTTCTTTTCTCCTTTCCACCCTCTGGCAGTTGTGTTGTCGTGTTCGCAGGCATGGTTGCATATGCTTTAATTCGTAAATCCACGCTTGAAACATAGAAGACAGAGATTGTGAATTGCTGCATCCATCTGTCTGTCTCTCTTCTGGTTAGACTGTTCAAGGAGCAGCCTTTCCTCTTGCCTAGAGTAAATAGAACTAGGGAACTTGTTAGGTTAAACAATACTCCAGATATGATTTCTTGATGAAGATCAAATTGGATGATTATAATGAAAATAAAAGCACAAAGTGCTTATATGCAGCACATCTGCTGAAATGTTAATTAAAAAAAATACCAAAGTGGTGTGTGTGTGTTTTAAAGCAATTAATAAGCAAATAATTGAGTAATCCTGACCTAGTGTGATGATCTAATACACAACTGGAAACCCAGCATACTAAGAACTACTGTACTCCTTGTATGGTTGCTTGTAAATAGGAAATAATATAACGAGTTGCACAGGGTGGCAAACCAGAACTGGTGTCTGACATGTTTGCTTAAAAAAAGAAAGAAACAAAAACCTTGGAAAATGATGATAAGCTTATCTCAGCTTACAAAATAAAACTTGCTGCGCAAGTTTGGCAGGTAGTGCTGTTTAACCTTAGCCGGGATGCGGGAGGATATACGCCAAACTTACTTTGTTTTATTTTTCCGTGGAATTACTATTTTATCTAACCAGTATAAGAAGGAAGTATATGACTTCATGGGAAGAAAAATATTTTAGATATAAATTTGCCTTTTTTTTTTCTTTCCTTTGTAAGCCCTTGCAGATGTAATATCTCATTTTGAAGGTGTGCTTATCATAGTTCGAAGTAGGTTTTTTTTTTTTTTTTCTTTTTCTTTGCCTCCTCTTGCCAAGAGGAAGAGGTAAAACCAGCCACAACAAATATAATTCCTGAGCTCAGTGCAAGGCTGTTGACATCTCTGCAACCTCAAGTGGCCGAGGCTTCGTGTGGCTGATTCCCCCACCACAAGTGGGACCGGGAATTTCTGCCCACTTCAGAAATGTTTATATTCATAACCTATTTGTTTTTAAGGAACAGAAGGGGAGGAGATTCCTGGGTCTTAAGGCTCAAAATTCTTCATCCTTAAGAGAGTTAACTAAACAAGAACAACATGTAGCTACAGGTTTTGCCTTTATATAATTAATTTGAAACCCTAAGTGCAGAAACTAAATGGCTCTTCCTCGATGCTGGTGAGATATTTCTATAATCCATTAAGTCTCTTCTACTACTCTTGCTGTGTAAATTCCCTCCTATATTAGTCTTTAAATCAAGCCATGTCAACTTTTTTCTCTACAACAGCTCTAATGAGGCTGTTCTGGCATCACATACCGGCAGGAGAGCAGGTGATGTTTTTCCTTGTGCTGTAGACAGCTGGAATTGAGAGCTGCTGTAAGTAGGACAGTGCAGGATAAACAGCAGGAGCTGAAAGCA